AGACGAGGGGCGAGGGGGTCAAGAAAAGATTGAAAATACATACTTTCTTGCCTATAGGGTCCATGTTCATATTCTGAAACAATTTGGTCAATCCTTCGACCAAGAAGCTGCAAATAATTACGTATTTTGGAGAGCACCTGAAAGAGCCAATTTAAGAGCAAAAATTTAAGAATATATTAAGAAAAAATGATACAATAGAGGTGACAGCAGAGCTGATGATTAAACAAACCTTCTCCTTCGGCAGATCTGCGCTCGTAGACTGAAGTTTTTGAAGGCGTTTCAATGTCTTTTCCTCGTCTAACATGACATCTTGGCACCACTCCATCCATTTCACTTCCTTGAATTGCTCATAAACTTCTTCATTATCAGACATTTCACCTTCCTCTTTAACCAATGGTTCCACCTTCTGGGATCTTGGGGCTCTCGATTTATTTATTTGTCCATTTAGATTAGGAGAACCAGGTTTCCGCTGTTTGCCTTTTCCACTATATAATGGAATATTTAGAAGATTTTCCTTCAGTTTCTTTGCATTCTTACGGCCAACTTTAACATTAGAACTCTTCCCACCAACAGCAACAACTTCCTGAGAACAAAGTATACACGCCGTGAATTACATTGTGGGTGCCATAAGTTCTCAAAAATAATTACAGCCAAAAAAAAGCAATATAACAAACTGCCTTAAAAGTAAAATAGGTGAAAAAGCACAACATTCTGGATAAAACTCAACAGGTACCACACTAAATTAACAAAAAATAAGGCATAGCACAGCAGTGGACAACAGATTCCAAAATAGAGCTGTACAAATTAGGCACAATGAATTTAACATAAACAAGCACATGTATGAGTGTGATGGGGACCCAACCATCTCTCCCAAAATCCCAGACTTGAGGGTAATTGAATCCCGCAACTATTAGACCCTAGCAATACCCCACGGTCCCAAATCCGACGTCCACGGCTCTGATACCAATTGATGGGGACCCAACCATCTCTCCCAAAAGCTCAAGCTTGAGAGTGATTGAATCGCACAACTATTAAGACCCTAACCAAGTGTTCGAGAATGCTGGTTTTTAAAGCCATTGACCATACATTGGAATGGCATGACCAAATCCAAAATCAATAAATAATGACTACACAGTTACATGGAAACCATATCTGAAGGAAAACCCGAGTTTCACTGAATTTGTCCCAAATAAATATTCCATAGGACCTTACTTCAACACAGTTACATGGTACCTCACATTATCACAAAAAGTTCCCTGATGTGATACTCTCAATTGAAGTAAAAGAACAGTTCAACTCGCAGTAACACAAGAATAAAAGGTTCATGTATCATATTGCAGGGATGGGACGTATAAGCCTGTTAGGAATGAGTTGAACCTACCATTTCCAGAAGTTGGGAAGCTCTTTCTTTCAGCTGAGGAGCTCGAGGTAAGAAAGTTTCATGATGTTGAAGTTCTACTGGAGCAATTTTCTTAGTAAGACCAAGTGTTTCATCTAGCCTTATCTTTTCCCAATTGCCAAATCCATGATGGTGAATTCCAAGCAGCAGCCTTGCATCATCCTCTGGTGGTTATACCAATAGAAAA